GTGTGAAAGTGGTGGAATATATCACACAGTGGGGTCATGGTAGTTTGAAGTCAATTGCTGGTTAATAGACTTTTTTGACTTATGGTCATACGTTGCCCTGGGTGCACCACGTGAAGGTAAGTCTATCGCACACCCCCATTATACAACTCTACAAATATTTATTATTATTGATTTCATGTTTGAAATCCCCAGTTTACTTGTAGACATATTCACACTATGGTATCCGTATGAATTTCATTTATGTTCGAAATTACTAATTCATCAAATAGGTTTCTAGTTTGAAGTCAGTCAATTGCGATTCCTACCAGCATTTTGCTTGCTATAAATCCCCGTCTTTTGTTTTTTTAGTCAACGGATCCTCCAAAGGCGAACTAGAAGGTGTTGTGCATCTGGGTGATTGGACAGCAAAAGTGAGCGGAAATGTGCAACAGGTTGGAGCATCGGATTACGAAATGTTGGCGCAGATTGTTCATCCAGATTACAGCCTCGTGATAAACCAGCAGACGTCCGTTGGAAAATCGTATAGTTTAGCGGCCGAATCCACTAGTCGCCTTCTGCCTTTCGTTTTCAAAAGTAAGTTCATCTGTTGACACAGTGCTATAAATCATGTCTCAAGGGAAGGATTTGAATTCGAATCATTGTTATGCATCGGAAACCAACCCAAGAAGGAGGAAAAAATGGGTAGTGAACAAAGTCTGTTTATCAAAATATGATATAATTTGAATTAAGGAAGAGTTACATATTTGCTTTCTCATAGCTGTTCGACAAGTTTGCAATGTGGCAAAGTTTAATATGTAAAATTTAATTATCATGTCTCTGGGAGAATTCATATCTATGGCATTAAGAGCCTAGATATCAGATGATTTATCGGCGAGTTTACTCATAACTCGTTAATTACTTTCATTTTATTGAGCTGAGTCGATGAGTCTAGAAAGCACATTTTTAATTCAATTTTGAATTAAGCAAAATAGTCCCTCCATTGTTCGAACAAAATGAGGTCCAGTGAAGTAGATGAGATAATATTTTATGATTTGTTACTTCTAAGTTCTTATTAAATTACATGCTCCATACCTTTTATTAGTTCATATTAATCCATTTATGGAAGTGGTATTTAATTCGATTTGAATTAGTTAAAACGTAAAAAAATTATTTCTTCGATTTGTCAACAAAGAAATTTTTATATTGATAAGAGTTTATGTACAGCACAGTCTCTGCATAGCCTATTCTTATGGTTCATTTGAAGTTCATATTCTGGTTCCGTATTTCTTTTTGACAATTTATATTTTCTCCTGAACGTATTCGGTTGGCTGATGAGTCGTAGGTCCGATTCTTTGCCATATGGATAATTCAATTGTAGATTTTCCATCAAGACACTGAGAAGCAATCTTTAGGATATTTATCAGTACACGTATTGGATTTTCATAGAACCAATTCTTACCCTTTCTCTTAGGTCGGGGCCCTCAATTCTAACCTCTAGAAGAGCGATTTAGCTGTGAGAGGTATGATCTCCATTTCCGGCCTTATCTTTTGAAACCAATATTTATTAAAACTTCTGTCCAGTGAATAAACCTATATTTAGCCTAGGAAGTCACTTCTTTCTTCCCAACTTCTTTCTGTTTTTCTTTCCTGACAGCATGTTCGTAGAAGAGTGTCTGCGGAGTTGGATCTCCTTCCAGACACTTTACAGACAGTTGGTTTAATCCTCACTCCTCAGATTATCTTATCAGGTCAATTATTTTTCCCATCGGTCACATTTGTGGGATTTGAGATCTGTAAAGGACATAGTACAAGCTGACACCGAGTCAACAATCAGTTTGAAACTTAAGCGGAGAAGGAACACGCTGAAACCTAATTACGCTAGAAATTAGATTCTCATAATTGTGTTTGTCAGCCTTACGACGGTTTATGACATTGTCACACTCAATGCCCAAAGTTAGGTAATAATTAGTAATTTTCTCAAAGATTATTTTACCACTTGCTTTGAGTATTCTGACGAATTGTTAACAGACATCAGTGGGACAAAATTATAAAAGATCACTAAAATACTGGTAATTTGAAAATTGAAAGAATTTGCAGAATTCGAAAGCGCTATCGATGTGTTGAAGATATGGGTTATTCAATATTCGTTATGCTCTCAAGTGAGAGAAAGATATTGAAAGCATTTTCGTTGTTTGGACGATTTTCTACAAAAAAATCAGAGACAAATGAAAACATTGAAAAAAATTCTTATGACTCTAGCCTCCGTGAATCAAACTTTCCATCAGCTCCTAAAGTTGGAGTGTGAGCAGCGCAACTATATTGAGGCAACATTTTAGTTATGGAGCGTGCGTTCAAGAATTTCAAAATGAATAAATAAATATCTATATCAAATGGTAGGCGCTTTGATGGTTATCATTAGCTCTTTAGTTGACTTCAGGCTCCACCTAGGGGAAGGAACATCAAAGAGGAATAAAGTCGAGAGGGGGGGGGTGAATAGAAGAGTGTTTCAAAGATGTAAAAGAGACAGACACAAAGTTAGAAAAAAGTTGAGGTGAGTACTATGGAAATAGTCGAATTTGACATACAGTGGGGTGATGGTAGTTTGGAGTCAGAAGTCAACTGCCAGTTAATAGACTTTTTTGCCGTATGAGTATACGTTGCCCAGGGTGCACCACGAGGAGGTAAGTCTATCGCACACCCCTGCTATGGACATTATTTGATAGTAAGTAAATCAACAAGGATTTAGTCAATCGCTCTAGGATCAACTTCCGTACTTGGTAAGGTAATGCGAGGAAAATGTTTAAAGGAATAAGACAAAGTCATTTTAATTGTACACCTATGCAAGTAAATAAGCAAATAAAATCAAGCATACTGCTCTTTAAATGGATCGTATTTTAAATTGAATCAGTCTCGAAAAGCTCACTTTATTTAGTCATCGATTTGCCCTTTAAATAGGTGGTTGTTCTAGATGTCCCTGGCTTTGCTACACTCAATGCGAAGCACAGTTACCTCTTGAAAGAAAGTATCTCCAAATTAAATTTAAAATTTGTGGGAATGCAGAGCGCTTCCTGGGAGTGTCACCCACTACCCTAGTTGGCTGCCAGTTCTAGAAACAAATATGTATCCCAGATGTGTGCTTCCTTTCAGGTTTTCCATTATACATTGCAGCTTATATTCAATCCAGGTCCTTTTACTGCTGAATCACCGTTGAGCGACGGCAAAAAGGCGTATTGAATGAGGTCTTACTATGTAGAGAGAGAGAGAGAGGGGAGAGTTATCACCCTTCTGACGTCTATGAAATCTAATCACACAGCAGAATGCGAAAAGGAAATTTGTTGTGAACAGTGTGGACGAGAGGGTCTTCTGTGAGCTGATTGTCCGGCACTTGGTAAGAGATATACTCAATATTGCACTGTTGGAAAGCCATTCAATGCCACTCACCAACTGTGCTTTAAGCATGAGTAAGGTCGTTCCATCTTGAATGCTTTGCTTTGGCATAAAGCACCATTCGATCAGCTACCGAACGAATGGGAGAATCAATTCTGATCAATACCACCAGCATGTGGTTTTGCTTTATTCAAACTTAGCCTTTCAAGAAAGGGCGAAACATTCAGTGTGATTAGTATTTCGCAATAAGAACCAATCACTTCAAGCTCAACGGTTATATTTCTAACATTCTGATCCAGATAATGTGATTATGACTTAAAAGGTCATAGAAGAAATTGCGTATTTTAAATCCTTATTACTAAAAGAGATCTCCTATTCAGCCATATTCTCCATCACCTCCTATTTAGACGATGTAACCGCAAACTAATTAACGAATTATTTCGAGTTTAAAGCGACCTAATTACTATCGAATTGGAATTGGCGATTTGGATAGAATCACTACTTTTGGCAGTAATTTGGATTGCAAGGTGAATATCCAAATTCTTTCTCCCTGATTTAACTAAAAATTGGCCCCTTTTGTGCTTGAATAATACGTTTACAACTTTAAAATTGCATTTTTGTTGGAACTCAAACAAGTGCCTTAAAATTGAGCTGCTAATCAGTGCCGTAGCCTTAACAGTCTCATGAAGAAAACGCTGACGAAAAGTACAATAAAACAATGAAGTTTATTGCCCGATGTTTTTATCTTGCAATTATTTGTTAATTTTTTTGAAATAATAATGATTTCGTCAAATTATTATTATCCTTTTGTGATGAAAAGTGGCGGCAACGCAACTGCCTTCTCAAAACTTGGATAAAGAAGGTGAGTTTGACAATCAAAATGCACCAAACAATGAAGAAAAATAACTTTTATAATCGTCAGTAATGTAATGAAATTTCGAAAAATGAGCTATCGAATGAAGTAAAGCTCCTTTCCTAGCGACTTTGCCTTAACAATTTCTTAGTCTTAATCGTTTATCAAAATAACTGTTAATCGTTATTTTTCTTTGCTTCTACAAAAGGTAAAGGTTAGATAACAATTTACGTGTTCTCGGTTATGATATATATATATATATATATATATATATATAGATAGCAAAAAGATTAATTTATTAACCTGATTACCTAATTCTATTTTAGTAGATTAATGTGAATTGGCGCACGCTATTCTCTTCCATGAAATACATAAGTCACTTAAATTTAAAGAAATGTATAAATTGCCTATTCAATTTTATTTGCAATGTCATGATAGATTTCACCTTTAAACAAAATGCTATTCAATTATATTATAAAGAGTGTTTTAAACTTAAATGGTCCTTCATTCTCTTCATTGTAAAGCTGCATGCATAAGCTACTCAAAAAGTATTGCATTTAAGTAAAATCTTAATCTTTAAGTCAATTACTTCCACAGAGGCCAACCAAGTGCTTATGTGAATATTAGTCCAATCGCCACGCCATCAGCCAATCACGTGTCACGTACAACAACAGGTAACCAATCAGATGTCAAGAGTCTGTAATTCGGTCAAATGAACAATTTTTCTGCACATAGCATTTACAGCGTTCTGACAAGGTGTAAAGGACTGTGCCATCCAGTTATGCCTTCTCAAAATGTCGCCTGTTCAAATATGCAGACAGAGGGAAATGACGCTTTTCTTAACAAAACTAAAGCCCAAATACGGAGGACTACACAAAAACTGCGCCGAACAATGATAACAACAACCGATTGGCCTCCACCCAGAGTGATTTTCAACACAGAAGTGACCACACCCCGGGACGAAAATGGTCAGCGTTCATCCACCTGGTCATTCCCTTGCTGTTTTCAACGAAGTAGGAGCAAATCACCCGAAGATGAGGAACATAAGAATAGTAACCTCTCCAAAATACTCATGGGGCCTTATAAGAATGAAACTCGGATGACGAATAATAAACTTATGTTAAGAACCGATGCAGATGGAAGTCTAGTCTGTCCGGACAATGTGGATGTAAACATGTTGATTGAAGGATTTCGGGAATTCGAGCGAAGATTTCAATATGGAACGCTTATGCCTTTTGCGAATGTCTTACCCTTTGCCAATCTCGTCCGTGGACGTGAAGAAATTCCTGAAATTGAGGAAGAAGATGAAGAAGAAGTGGAAGAATGCAGAAAACCTGTGAGGAGTTCCATTTTGAAGAAATCAGGTGTCTGTGAAAATCCATTGAACGGAAGTGAAAATTTTCAGGTCAACAATGACGATCAGAAGAAAGTCCTGGTTGTTGAAAGCATATGTGAAGCATAAAGCACTCCTTACTCATACCACCCCATCCTGCGCACACCGTAACTTTCCAATTTCCTATTTACTTCTTTTTTGCATCATATATCCTAAGTATTTTTTTTTTGTACTTGAGCACCTATTGTAAAGTACTTATTTTTTAAATTTATAGTAACAAAAATTAGTTGCAATTATGCATTTCATCTAATATTAGTTTATGACGCTGACTTGCTTTCTGATGGTGAATTTTGATTTAAAATTCTCATTAAACAATTAATTATGGAGTTAATGTAAATACCACTAAATGAAGTCGATAATCAAAAAATTAAAGTTAGCAAGAAATATCAAGGATTAATCTACAAATTCTGGATAATTAATGCAATTTGCTTTCCTAATTAGTGGGAATTTCTTAAATTATTCAGTAAATTCTTTAAGTAAATATTTATACTCTTTTAATATTCGATATTGATTTCATCTGGGAAAGCAGTTGATCTTATCACGCGTTTTAACTTCGTAATTAAAACATTTGAAAGCGTGCCTTTCAGGTTTTTCACAGGAGATTTAATTTATATAAAAAACGTTTTCATTAATAAGGCAATAATTTAGTTAGATATTAGTTTAAAAAAATAAATTTCACAAGAATTCATGATACTGGCGATGCATTGGGATGATGTCCTTTATTCCACCACAAATATGCCGATGGGAACTCAGATTAGATTAGCACTCAGATTGTCACTTAACACATACCAAATACTCAAATAAGCAGGCATTTTAAGAGGTCAGCATAATTAGTCACAAAAATAAATTAATTTTACCGTTTCAAAAAAGTGCATATGCATTTTTAATGCACCTCGGTAATCCAAAAGCACTTTTGCCTTAAGAGCGAAACTCCTTACAGGTCCTCCTAAATATGTTTACAATTTGACATCAATCACACATTGTTTTTATTTGTCTTACAGTTCTGACTTAACAATCTTGTCAAATCTGTACAATATAGTTGTTATTCTAAAGGATATATAAAGAAACTAGCAATAAATTTAAATGTGTTCAAATAAATAGTAAAATTTAGTGAATTAATAATTTCGATAATCAATTTACTTTAGAAAAATTGATTTATATACGAGATGTCCATTCGTAAAATCTGAAATTGTCAGTTCTTTGTATACATGAAGTCATTTTTATGAAGCCTCTGAGGTGCTTAAGATGCCATGACATCGTTAGTCATATTTATTTATTTATATAAGTTTGTTATCATTAGCCCTTTAGTTGACTTCAGGCTCCACAGAGGGGAAGGAGCATCAGAGTGAAAAATGGTCGAGAGTGGGGGTGGGGGGTTGGAATAGAAGAGTGTTTCAAAGATATAAAGAAAGAGACACAAAGGTAGAAAAAAGGTGAGGAGAGTAATGTGGAATTAGTCGAATATGACATACAGTGGGGTCATGGTAGTTTGGAGTCAGAAGTCAGCTGCCGGTTAATAGACATTTTTGCCGTATGAGTATACGTTGCCCAGGGAGCACCACGTGGAGGTAAGTCTACCGCACACCCCCTAAGTTATATTGATCGGGTAGGGTGAATTAGTGGTCGCGTCAAAGAGACAATTTGCATACAGAAGTGTTCAGTTTCCAAGTCTGTCTCCAATTGGCGGAAAATTGAGTGAAATTTTGAAAATTCGGCCACAAAACAGAATAGTTTAAATCAAAGTTTACTTTTTAAATTTATGCCCTGAGATATGTCCCTTTTAATGTGAACACTCCTATTTGAATTTGATTAATTTTTTGACCAATCCTGTTAATATTTATATGAGAACTAAAAAATACATACCTCGTAATTGAACAAGATTTTTAGACCTTTCAGTAGTAAGATTACCTGAGATAAGATGATTGGTTAGATTGAAAACGAAAGTCGATGCACCAATCGCTTAAAGTATTGGCAAATGATGATATCGTTTTAAATTTTCTAAACTGCCTCAGAATGAAATTTTTACCATTAAAAATCCCTAATAGTGTTCGCATTAAAAGGAAATTTTCAAGATTTCATGCTCAT